TTTTTGCACATGTCGAGGAGCGTGTCAGGCTACATTTCACTGTGTGTTATACTTGTATAACTATGCATGTGACAAATAAAGAACCTTGAACCTTGAACCTTGAAACTAGAAGTTACAGCAAAGGAGCTGCAACTGTAAAACCTGCTGATTTCTAACAAATTACCACTTAGACGTAGGGACAGGCTGCATTTTAGCCACATGCTGACTAGTTTCAGTCTTTCTGAAAATATGTGAAATGTGCTTTTTTATTTGTGTGTTTAGTAGTTTTGTTTTAATATATGTGTTATGTGGGACAAACACATGTTGTTGTTCATATATTTTGATTGACTTCTCTGTGAAGAGAGGTAACTGGCACCTTTAAGAAACCTTTGAGTCAATCACAATTAGGCACGAAGAAAACTCTGACTTCAACCATATGTATATGTTTTATCTAATTCTTGTGGAATTGGTCTATCTATCTATTGCAGTTTCAGTAAAAAACAACTGAAATTTGTCATCATTCCACAGGGTGGTGCTGCAACACCGCAACGCAACGCAGTAGTAACCGCCGCTTTTACAATAGTTCACAGACAGTGAAGCAGTTTTGCGTTCTTTACATGACTGTATATGTTGTTGTGTCATGAATAGCAATAATCTGCAGAATCATTCTGGCTTTGGAATATTTAATTGAATTAAAAGATGAAGTAAAAATAGAGGTGGAGGATATGAGTGTGAAGGAGAAGGTGTGGAGGAGTCTCAGTGTGTCTACAAAGAGTGTGAGAAGGACAGAGCAGCAGCAGAGCAGTCCACATACATCGATTGACCCTTTGTCAGATTCTGAGTGACACAAAGGGGATGATGCTGCACTCTACACTGTGTGACAGTGGAGCTGTTCTCAGAGCAGCTCCTGATGCAGGAAATCCAGTATAAAGAGCAGCAGGGACTGCAGTCATTTCAGAGCAGCTGTGTAGTGTAGCCAGCTTCCTTTTAGTCTTGGTCGAGTGAACACAAAAAGTTTAAGTTCAGAGCAGAGATATTTAACATCAAGTGAGTTTCCTCTGTTGATTTTGCTCAAGTCCACAGTTAAAATAATCTGCAGAGAGTCCTGAATGCCTCATTACCGCAAAAAAGATTTAGTGATGGATTTCCTTCTGTTCCACTGAATTCATTTTTCACCTTACAATTCTACACACTATTGACAACGGGAGAAAAAATTCAAGCAAAAACATTCTTGAAATTGTTGCACATGTATGTGTGTGTGTGTGTGTGTGTGTTCCTAAAATAAAACATGTATTCAAATATTGAAGTATTTACAGTTTTTACCATGACACTCAGAATTGAGCTCAGCTGCACCCTGTTTCTGGTGATCACCTGCCAGACGTTCCTACAACTTGGAGTCCACCTGTGGTAAATTCAGTTTATTAGAAATGGTGTGATTTATTATGATTTGATAGGTTCCCATGTTTGACAGTGTATGTCACAGCACAAATCTAGCTACGAAGTAGTTGTAATTGTAGACAGGATTACATTGATCCATTCTCTTCCACTTATCCTAATCAGCATTGCAGAAGGTTGGGGGGCTAGGGCCTATCCCGGCTGCATTGGGGCGAAAGGCAGGGTACACCCTGGCTAACACAGACAACCATACACACTTACATTCACACCAATAAACCGAACCCCACTAATTGCAAATCTTTTGACTGTGGGAGAAACACGCAAACTCCAGACAGAAGGGTCACATGACATGATAGACCTTCTGTAAGATAATAATGCTAACCACCCTGCTGCCCCAGGCTAACATGGCAAAATGTAGAACAACTTAAGTGGTGTGAATACTTTATTTTTTTACTGCACAATACTTCTTTAACCAAGTACCTGTATTTTCTCTTTGTTCCACGATTACAAAACTTCAACATGACACAAACTTGATTGAACTGTAATATAACACAGCACTGAAAAACACACTGCTGGAGCTTTAAAGAACACCATAAACATGCAACATTAAAATTACTACAAAGTTCCATAGCAAAATAATAAAGTAGGACTGGCCAAGCAATGCCTGGCTTTTAGCTCCAAGACCAGCTAGAGAGCAGCCATAGTACTTCAAAGCAACATTCAACTCAGGAGAGAGGCAAAAAATAAGTGATCAGTAGTGCAAATAACATATTCCAGCACTTAATCCAAAGTTTAATGACTCTTCAAGGCACAGTCCTTATTTCTAGGAATGTGAGTATGCCAGTATTGACACATCCACTGGAGTTATTAGAGTCATCCAGAAAGTAAAGGCAAACAGCAGCAGCTGAAGTGAAAATGACACTGGCACAGTCTGGGGTCAAAGTATTTCCCCTCTGTCTTGTAATCCATCCACTGAAGAGAATTTCAGTAGTTTCTCAAATGCGTATCAATAAGTCAAAGCTTGACACTGAAGTTAAGGCCACACTGTCTTTGTCCCTTCTGGAACAGATTCAGGAAGTCTGGGTAGAGTCAGTCTTTGACTTAAAGAATCCCTCTGCAGACGTCACTGCGTGTCTCGATCTGTTCAAAAGTAAAAGATTTGTCTTAAAATGATTGTTGCGTACTCTTCACTTCCTTAAAGGACACCAAAAGTTTTACTGTATTTTTATTCACACACTGATGGGGTGCATTTAAAACATCATCATTGAAAATAACATTTTTGAGAACACCAAAAAGAAGGATTTAAACAGCTACAGTCAATGCAGACTGAAAACTCACTAATACCAATAGAAGCAATTACCAATTAATGAAGAGAATGAAGTCTTTTGAGTTATATTCACCAAATAGTGAAATCTTGCATAGATCCATCAAAGAAAACCAGTCTTCAAAAGCTTTGTGCAGAAAAAAAACATCCACACTAATGCAAGGTATCAATTATATATTAGACCTTAGAATGATATTTATAATTAAAAAGAGTTATCCTAAAATTACTATGAAAGTGAAAATACATAAATTAATCCCACTAAAAGATCTGAGCAATACTCACCCCAGTACAGCATCTAAAGCAAAGTAGAGGTCAGCCTGTAGGAACGGTGTGATACGATCAAGAAAAGCTTGCAGGAAAATGAAATGTTAAACCTTTGTTATATGACAGCCTTGTCCAGAAAAGATGCAGAAAAAGAAGTAATACTAAACAAATAATATTAAAAAGGACTATATATAAAGCCACTAGCAGGATTTGCCTTTGAAATAAACTCACTTTTTGTGTTAAACTGTTTCTGATCTGCCACTTGTGGGAGGTGTGGGTCCAGTAAGAAGTGAGCAGCTTGCTATTATGAATGTGTTAGAAATAACATTTCCAGCACATAACCATAGCCCTTGTGAAATGCATGCCAACAGGGATCTGAACGGGCTTGTATTTTGATGATCCCTAGGTTTTAAATGTGCAATTCAGCATTATTAGATTCTTAATGCTGTGAATAATGTTTAATGTGCACCATGTGCTCCTTAGTCTTTTGCTTTGTTTGCTCTGCAGACTCAGAATGAATGATAGTCACACTGATAAACAAAATTTAAAACATTTATTTTGTTCCTCAGTTGTGGAGTTAACTGACCTTAAGGTCTCCAGTCTACAGTGTGGACTCTCCAGGTAATCACACAGTTGTTTCATTCCTGATTCCTGTAGGTTGTCTCCTATTAGATCCACATGTTTCAGATAGGGGGGGTTGGACTTCAGAGCCCGGACCAGAGCAGCACAGCTGATCTCTGACAAACTGCAATTCTCAAATCTGAATAAAGAATAGAACATGTAGAAAAAATAATTGGTAATGTAATCTGATGTTCTAAGCTTAGTATTATTATGTCCTAATGAATTAGTTTTTTTGAACATAATACATGATTATCATCATGTCAGTCTCCTGCATATATCATCCAGTTATCAGCATACCATCCAAACACCTATTCATCCCAAACACATTAATCGCATGTTGGATTAAATACTGTTTTTTAATATCAGAATAAATCAAATCAAATCAATCTTATTTATATATTACTTTAAAGACAACAACTGTTGACCAAAGTACTGTACAACTGAATAATCAGATACAATTTAAAAGGAAAGTAAAGTCAAGGATAAGAAAATTATAAGAAAAAAATAATGACAGCCTCAAACCGACTTGAAAGCCAAGGAGTAAAAATGGGTCTTTAGACGTGTTTTAAAAGAATCCACGTTGGAGAGGTTGTGATATGTAAAGGCAGTTTATTTCACAGTTTCGGAGCAGTCACAATCTGACAAGTAGAAGCATTTGGTCTGCAGATGGACCAAATGCTTCTAGAGACTTATTACATAAGCTTGCAATAATCAAGTACGCATCTAATAAAGTTACAGACTAATTAATGCTAAGTGCAACAACTTGCAACATTCAGCAGCACAATCACCTCTCTAGACTGATTATATATAATCAAACTCCGGAATTGCTTTTGTGTTTTGTCCATAGTGTTTAAACTAGAGGATTGCCAGCCACTGACAGCATTTTTTGACAAGATTCACAATAATTTCAAGACTCCTAGGATATAAAAACAGTAAATAGATCAAAAGAAAAAGAACACACAGAAAAGTTCTCCATACTGGATTTAAATTGTGTTTTTTTCCCAATGTGATAATTATCTTTTTTTTTAGCAAAAGTAATAAATAATAACAAAACATACAATTTGCACATCCTAAAATGACACATCCAAATTTGAGTTCTTCAACAAGGTTTGCACAACTTTATCAACTTTATCATTTATTCATTGACCCTGCTTAAAAGCACACTTCTTCTGTCCCCTTCATATTTCCAGTTGTCCAACTTTGGACACCAGATTAGACTTACTGGTGCAATGTTGAGGTGAAGGTTATTACATTGCTGTACCTTAGTGTAGGATTTGCCCATTATTATAAGTGCTTTTATAGTTTATAGTTAGGGTTATAGTTTGAACTTTGTAGTTAAAACTATTGAAAGACCTTCAGAAATAACAACATATTCCTTTAACTAACCTGAGTGTCTCCAATCTGCAGTTTGGTTGCCCAAGACTAGCAAACAGTGTCTCTGCTGAATCCTCCAGGTTGATTGAACTCAGGTGCAGCTCTCTCAGATGGGAGGGGTTGGACATCAGAGCTGAGGTCAGAGTTTTACAGTGGTTCTCTGAGAGCCAAACATCATGAAGTCTGTGTTGACATATGTGTCAGAACATATGTTATTATGAAGAAGTAACATTATGTTTACTTCATGCACTTGTTGAAAAACAACTGGACACTTTCTCTTCACATCTGTGTTTCCACTGAAGTGTTTGTTTGACAAAAAAGTTAATTACCTCAGTCTCTGTCAGATTTTGTATTTTGATTTAATGTGCAGAAAAAAGGACAGAAAATTGGTTCCAGTCAGGCTTCCACGTAGTCATCCAGTGTAATGTGATCTAGCACCAACTCCTTAACCATAGGGGTCAAGGTTTAATTGGATGTTTCTCACTACTTTTGATTTTTCTTTTTTATTACCTTAAAAGTTATTTAGCTTACTTTGAGTGGACTCCGTTTTTACAACATCTGTGAGGTTAAAAAGTAATTTTTTTAATGGTGAAAACCAGAAACATGTTTATTGAACTATTTCTAGACCTTGAAATGCAAATATAAACCATGAAGTTAAAAAACCTATGTGCAAATTTAGAAAGGAAACAAACAAACATTTTATATTAAAATGCAGGCAATTCTTTAAGTGTTCCTGTGTTTGTTTCTTTGTTTGTTTGTTTTTATACAAGTATTTACAAAACAGTCAGATGTCACAGTTATTCTGTACCACCCCGCAACTGATATCTCAAGTCTCTAATGAATCACTGGAACAGTGTAATAAGAAAACAAGAAGGTTTTAGTCAGAATAATTTAAGAACTAACCTACTGATGTAAAGTGATTTATAATGTTAATCACATCTGGACTCACCGAGCCTTTCTGCAGTTCTTCACAGCTGCAATTAGTCTTTGCCGTCCCTCCTGTGATGTATTGTAGTTCACCAGGTCCAACTCATCCAAAACATCTGACATGAGCAACATATATGCCAGACCCGAGCACTGAATTCCAGAGAGTTTCTTCTGTGATTTGTTCTGTGACTTCAGGAAGTCTTGGATCTCCTCATATACCGAAAGATCATTCATCTCCATCAGACAATGGAAAATGTTGATAGTTCTGTTAGGACACTTGTCATAAGTTGTAATCTCCTTCAAGTTGTTGATGACTCTCTGGATCGTTTCTGGACTGTTCACTGTCTGACCCAGCAGACCTCCTAAGAGTCTCTGGTTGGACTTCAGAGAGAGGCCATGAAGGAAGCGAACAAACAGTTCCAGGTGGCCACTCTCTATGAGGAAGAATTTATCTATGACTGTAATCAGAAAGTCTTCTAGAGATGAGATGTCCTCTCTCAGGAAGTTCTGCAGCACCTCTGTCTTCCTGTTGGTGTAACAGTGGAACATGTAGACAGCAGCCAGAAACTCCTGAATGCTCAGATGAACAAAGCAGTAAACTGGTTTCTGGAAGATCACAGACTCTCTTTTGAAGATCTCTGTACAAACTCCTGAGTACACCGAGGCCTCTGTAACATCCAGACCACACTGCTCCAAGTCTTCTCTGTAAAACAGGATGTTCTTTTTCTGCAGATGTTCAAATGCTAGCTTCCCCAGCTTCAGAAGAACCTCCCTGTCAGCATTGGTGAGCTGTTTTCGTCTCATCTCTTTTCCCTTGTGGTACTTGTGCTTTTTCTTTGTCTGAACCAGCAGGAAGTGTGAGTACATGTCAGTCAGGGTCTTGGGCAGCTCTGCTCTCTCCTCTGTAGTCAACATGTGCTCCAGAACTGTAGCAGTGATACAGCAGTAGACTGGGATTCCACACATAATGTAAAGGCTCCTGGATGTTTTCAGGTGGGAAAGGATTCTGCTTGATAGCTCTTTATTTCTGAATCTTCTCCTGAAGTACTCCTGCTTCTGAGAGTCAGTGAAGCCTCGAACTTCTGTCATCCTGTCAACACATTTAGGAGGAATCTGACTGACTGCTGCAGGTCGGGAAGTTATCCAGATGAGAGCAGATGGAAGCAGATTCCCCTCCATTAGATTTGTCAGCAGCTCACTGATGGTTGACTTCTGTGTGACATCAAACACAAGCTTCCTGTTGTTGAAATCCAGCAAAAATCTGCTTTCATCGAGGCCATCAAAGATGAACAAAAGATTACACACAGTGAGCTTCTCTGCTGTGACGCTCTGTAATGTTGGATAGAAAACATGGATCAGCTCCAGGAGACTGTACTGCTCATCTCTGACCAAGTTCAGCTCCCTGAATGAAAGCAGAACCACCACACTGATGTGTTGGTTTTCTAAGCTCTCTGCCCAGTCCAGAGCGAACTTCTGTACCAAGAAGGTTTTTCCAATGCCAGCAACACCATATGTCAGAACCACTCTGATGGGTCTTTGTTGGTCAGGTAACACCTTAAAGATTTCCTGACAGCTGATTGGTGTTTCACAGAGGGTCTTCTTACAAGCGCTCTCCACCTGCCTCACCTCATGTTGGAAGCAAAATTCTTTATTCTGTCCCTCTATGATATAGAGGTCAGTGTAGATCCTGTGGAGGAGAGTTCCACTTCCTGTTTTATCAGGTCCTTCAGTTACACGTTCACATCTTCTCTTCAGAGTGACCTTTAGTGCATCGGAAACTTTCTGCAGACCATCATCTGTTGACAGAAAGAAAAACAAGAGGACTAGAGGGAAAACAGACAGTTTAATCTGTGGAAAACTTTCATTCTTCCACAATAAGAAGTACAGTTTAAAAAAATACATCAGCAGAAGGTCTTTATTTGTAGACAGCTGTTCTTACTGGCTGCCTGCAGACCAGGTCTGCTTCTGGATCTTTCTCCACACTGGGGACAGAAGGGGTGTCTTGATGAATCTCTCAGGACATCTTGACACAAAGCACAGTAAGACACCAGCTTTCCCTTAAAAGGGTGACTCCTGTTCTTCACTCTGTGGACACCAAATAAAATTTATTCTGACCAAAGAAAATCAGTAATGTCAGAAATACCAAATTTTAATATCAACACTGGCTTCCAAAAACATCTTTTTTATGTGTTAGGTGTATTGTTATTTTTAATTTATGTTCTTCTTTGAGCTCTAGAAGGAAAATAAGTTTGTTCTAGTTCAGTTTCAAGAAATCACTTTTAGAATAGAATAGAATAGAATAGAATTCAACTTTATTGTCATTGCACATGCACAGGTACAGGGCAACGAAATGCAGTTTGCATCCATCCAGAAGTGCTTTAGTGATATAGGTATATTACAATATATATTAGCAATAGTATAGATATGT